TGCAGCGCGGAACACTCACTCTGATCGTTCTGATAAGAAAAGATTTCCGGTATTTATTGATGGGGCCCACATATTCAATATTGATGCGTATATCAAGTGGCTCGAGGAGGTTGTGCTGCTCTGGGTCAAGAAGATGACTGCTGAAAGTTCCTATGTCTAGCAACAGGATTCTGCACCATGTCACACAAGCAGGAGAACGCAGCCATGGCTGTCAGACCATTTCTGCGATTACATGACCCCTTATGTCTGGCCACCTAACTCCCTTGACTGCAACACTTTGATTATTATGTGTGAGGCCCAGTTGAGCGAGATACCAACAAAACTCTAACACCAAAGATGAACTGAAAGCAAGGATTATTGCAGCAGTCACTATCTTAAACAAGGACACAATCCAGAAGAGATGCAAGAGATTCCGAAGTTGTCTGGAGACCATGATTAAGACCAATGGCGATTTTATTGAATAAATTTACTCTTTATTATTTCAAGATATTTCTGTTTAATTTTGGTAAATATATGTTGAAATGAAATATCACTGTTATTTTCATTTTTGTAATTTAAACGACAATTTATCCATCACAACCTGGACATCTCTCTCTCTCTCTCTCTCTCTCTATATATATATATATATATATATATATATATATATATATATGAAGGAATCATATTTTAAACAAAAAAATATTACAATATATATATATATATATATATATATATATATATATATATATATATATATATATGTATGTATGTATTAATCCCACATTGGTAGCACGACAACTCAATCTTCATGTGCTGAGTATAGACTGACTGTTAATAAATTAAATCTTTAAAAAATATCCGTTTAACGCAAACATTGAAACTGGTTCAAACATATTATACTGAGATTACAGTTCGATTTTAAAAATATATTTGGTACTGAAAATAAACGGGATATATGTAAAAAATCTTTTGACTTGTGTATAATATTTTTTTTATATATTAAGCAGAAAGGGAGATTACTGTATTTTTTAAATAGAAATTTAATTCATATTAGAAATGAATCTGAATCAACGTATTTCACACGATACTTATATTTATGCTTTCATGTAACCATCAATTCATTTCTCTTGTTAAATAAGCTAAGATTGTAAGATTTGGCTTTAACTACAATATCCCAGGTAATAATGGGTGTATTGCCGACATTTTTAATTGCCAGAAATATTTTTAGAGACCAGTACTCATTATGTATTTTATATTGCCTAAAGTCATTCATGGTTTTTAAAAAAAGAAATTTACAAAAATTTTCAATAGAACCAAATTAAAAATTGACACCGTCACCGGAATGTATGCTAGCTCGGTATACAAAATTATCAATCATACACTGGTTGTTTAAAGGACAGATCATATTTTTTCGGCAGTTGAATTTATTAAAAATTAACTTTGGACATGTTTCTGTTTAATATAATATTGTTATTTTGGGATATATATATATTCATCAATGTTATTAACGCAGATATAGCTGATCTTAACATTACTTTTGGTATTTTTTGTATGCGTGAATGATTAAAGTGTTTAGGCATTAGATTAAGGAAATTTCTTCCGATATTCGTTTGGAGATTAGGATGGATTAAACCAAGGCCTATGGTGTTTCCTGTTTATTTTTAACTTCTTTGTTCTTTGTCTAAATACTCTAAATTTACTTTATGGTTGCTTAGTTTTAAAGCTTTTATATACGCAATTTTATTATTATTAATTATTTCTTGATTGCTGGAGTTACATAATCTAATCGGACTGATTTATGTAAATTGTTTAGAATGTTATGATGTATCTATTGTTATATAGCTCTTTGGTATATGGTTTGTAATAACCAGTATTTGACTCCAAGGTAATCCAGTTGATCACTTTAACATTGGTGGTTGTGGTAATATTTAGCTCGTGATCTTTGAAGTTTTTCACTTTCACACACACACACACACACACACACACACACACACACACACATATATATATATATATATATATATATATATATATATATATATATATATATATATAGGTGACTATACTCGTCTCGAAAAACCTTCGAATTTTGATTTGCCAATAATCAAATCAATCTCGAAGGAAAAAAAAGGTTTTAAAAAAAGAAAAGAGCCAGGAACATGAAAGTCTGTCGAAAAAAATCGCGCACAGATACAGTTTCAAAGCCAAAAGAAAAAAAACGACACGAGTAAACAACTAACTAAAAAGAGCTCAATATAGCCGTAGAGCAGACCTAGATAAACATAGTGAACCAGACAAACCTATATATATATATATATATATATATATATATATATATATATATATATATATATATATATATATATATATACATTAATTACGTTTACGTGCTAATACCCTTGGGAAAGGTATGAATCCTCTTCCTCTCCCTCCAGCTATGGGTAAAATAGCAGGACAGACTGGGTTCTATAGTCTTGGATGGCAACTGGTCTAGGAGAAGGACAACTCTGAATTCAAAACCTGCGGAGAGTGATTGGGAACCTTGTGGGACTCGATGCACCAGGTCTCTGTATTCGCCTCTTCAAAAAGTGGATGGTCCTCCACGAAGCCTTCACCACTATAATCAAATCTCATGTGCTGCTGTCGGTTTCCTAGGAACTGATCTGCTTGACCCTTATACGTCGAATTACTGGGTGTAACAGCAGAATAGTCCTCATCGCGTTAGAGCATGTGATAAATGTTCATCCCAAAAATGTTTAATATCTAAAAAAACACTAAACTTACTGAATTTCTTTTTTCTAGATTTCCGATTTAGCCATTCTGACACAAACTGGCGTAAAAATCACTGAAACACACTGTGGGTTACTCAGCTAGAAAGAGAGCAGGTTCAATTCGTTTTGTGTCAGCCCTACTATGTCTTTCCAGCTGAGCAATGGTGAGAGGAAAACGATCAGTAAGGCCTTCAATAATGGTACCAAAATTCATACTCTGAGTTCCATTTTCAAAGCCAATTAAAGAACCATCAAGTGAACGGTGAATAAGTTTAAAACGAGAGAACAGTAGAGAGGAAAACTGGATCAGCACGTCACTACAGCAAGAGGGACCATCATTTCATCTTAGAGTTAAATATTTTCTTATTGTTCAAAGTAGAGTCCGATGTTGTTATAAAAACTTCGGAGAACTCCAGTAATATATCTTTAGTGAGATACAATATTTCAAAACTTAATCTAACAATTAAAACATTCTTGCTGTTACACTGTTACATACATATGTGTGTGTGTGTATTTGTGTGTGTTTGCGTGTGTTTGTAGATATCTGCCGCTGTATTTCATATCTATGAATATTTCTGTTTACTACATTCTGATCATTTATCAAATATCTGTTGTTTATTCTCAATGTATTTTTTTTTCTTAAGAATCGGTGTTAGTAAAGCAACTTATTTTCTTTCCCCGTTCCTCATTTCAAAAGAAAATGTAATGCATTCATCAAAGAGAAAGCAAATAACTCATTTACAGATTCGCTCGTGTTTTGTGAGCTTCAACAAAGGAAGGTAACAGTAGAATATATTTAGGTTTTGAAATCTTAGACTAAAAATATCATATTCATATTCATAATGCGTCTTTCCTATTGTTATAGTGTTTATATAGAAAACTTTGACAATAGTCGTTAGATATCACCTTCTCCATTACAAATATATTTAAGCAACTCTACGAAAGATTTTTTTTCTTCAAAAATCACTTCCGGTGACATTCTAATGGAAGATGTTTGATGCTATATTTATTTGCATATAACAATTTTTTCATTTCGTCGAAGCATAAATTGTTCAGTCAGAATTATCTAGGACGAACGCTTCCTCGTTATTAAGATGTGATGGTGGTGTAAGGGCTATCGAGTTAGAATGAGGGATTCGAATTCCAGTATTCTTCGTTGCTTTCGCTTCTGCAATACCCCATTTAAAAACGAAAGCAAGACATTTTTTTTTTAAAAAAAAAGTGAAGTAATTCCTGGCTAAAACGCATCACCACCAGAAAACACTCACATTTTATGGATTACCAAAAATATGTAAACTGGACTTCCCGATGATACCCATTATAACAGGAATAGGCCACTTTATGGTACAATTATCTCCTCGTAAATAAAATCTCTGGTGATCTCTTGAATGCATTAAAAAAAGCTTTGGTATTAAAGTAATGGTAATCACTTAATCAACCCTTTGAAAAAGTAAGATTCCGTTTCTTTTCCCCCACCCGTCAATGGGTAAATAGCAGGGCAGACCTGGCTCTATAGCCTTGGATGACAACTGGTCTACCCCAAATGGCAACCTAGTGCGAAAAAAACTCTGCCTCGTCAATCATGTATCGAAAGATACATGATCGTCTAAGTGTGTGTCACGCATGGCACATAACTGACTGACTGATTAGTAATATTTTGTTTATAGCAATGCTTATAACAATGCTGAAGATAATGAGAATTATGAGTTTAGAAAATAAGAAAAAATATTTATAGTGATTTTTAAAATGATAGCTATGACAGCAATGATGGTGACGATTTGAATGGCCTTAATAACGATAGGTGCAGACAGTCTTATGGTTACAGTGTTGCTTCTTCTTTGCAAAGATTAGGAACATTCAAACATATGTTAAGATTGTCATCTCTAATAATATTTCTATCTTGGATTTTTCTTGATATAATGAACGTAGAGAGAAAATGAAGGAAAACCAAGCTTCCATTTGATTTATTTTTAAACTAGGTCTGTTTTCTCTCTGTGATGGCTTTAAGTATTATCTATCTTGGAGAACTATTGACAAACCATCTCGATGGAAAGAAGGTGAGGTGAATTTGGAATCAATCAAATTTGAAGCCATTACAGAAGATGTACTTTACTTAGGGAGTTATTCCTTTTAAGAAAGATTTTAGACAATGTTCTTAGAGTAGTTGTCATTTTAGACACAATGTTATTTTTCTTCGACTTTTCTATATTGGGAGTTGCCGCAACTTAAGTATGTTAAAAGCATCCAGGCTTACGGCCACATCATGTTGAAAAAACTGCTTCCCGTATGATCACCGAAGTTAAGCAACGTCGATCCTGGTCAGTACCTAGTTAGATGACTGTTTGGGAATCCCAGTCGCTGCAAGATCGGATTTACGGGTTGTGTAATTGTAATGGCTCGGGATTGTTAATCGGAGAACCGTGTTTCAATAACAGTTGGGTTTGTTATATTCACTTAGAAGAAAATAACCACCTCTTCTCCCTCCAGCTATGGGTTAATTAGTAAGAGTTGTATCAGTAAACCATTATTATCCCCGCTCCCTACGATTTTTTACAATCCAAAATTATTGTCTAGCTTTAAATAGCCTGCAATCTATCAATAAAATATAAAACATTTCACAAATACAACAATGTCGGATTCATATCAGTGAAAGGCCTACCACAAACAAGCAACGTCATCACATTGCGAAACTAGATAATAAAATAATAATAATAAATAATAATAATAATAATAATAATAATAATATTACAATTATAATAATTAATAATAATAATAATAATAATAATAATTATTATTATAATTATAATAATATAATAATAATAATAATAATAATAATAAATATAATAAACAAACTAGAATCAAGGAAAACAAACAAGTTCCAAAAACAACTGGAAAAAGACCAAAACATAATAAACCAATATATATATATATATATATATATATATATATATATATATATATATATAGGTCGACTAATCAAAAACTATCTATGAAATAGAAACAAGCAACTACAAATGCAAATTGGAAAAGTGATCACCAAATTCTACAAAACCACCAACAATGAATTGGAAAACGACATAAACGAAGAAGCAAGATCTTAGCCGACAAATTAAAACTAGACAATAAAATAAAACAACTAACGAAAGTAGAACCATTCATTAAAATAAAAGACCACAAAGAGAATTTCTTAAAAAAACAGGCAATCTAAACAAATCCCACAAAAACCAAAATCAGAAAATAAATAAGCAACTTGTAGGAAAATATTTAAACAGTTAAGGACCATCTAAGCATAAGCAAATGGAAAATAAATAAAAACACTATGAACAAAGGAAACTCTTCTTTCATACAAGTAAACATAAAAGACTTTTAGCCATCGATCTTTAAAAACACAGTCAATAATTCACTACATCTGGCAAAATACTGCATAAACATCTCAAATGTATATTTAAATATTATCAAGCATTCCAGAAATTCAATACTAGACTACGACAGCAAAATATAAAAAAACGTAAGACCAAGAATAACAATACCAATATCGACAATACTTTTGTCGTAAATATTGGCAGCTCTGATGACGCAAGAATATGCGAACTAATAGGTACATATATCATCAATAAATGAAAAGATATCATCAACCAAAAAGGCATAGACTTATAGAGGGACGACGACCACCACATAATCATTAGAAATTGCAAAGGCAGAAAAAATACACATAAAATAAGAAAGCAGATTATAGAAAACTTCAATACGTTAGGATTCAAAATAAACATAAAATCTAATCTAAAAATAGGAAACTTCTGAGATATAAAATTTAATCTAAACAACAACACATACAAACCATATAGAAAAGCAAGCAACAACCATATATATATATATATATATATATATATATATCGACAATAACTCCAACAACACTCTTAACTTATTGTTGTGAGACCGTAATATACCTACAACATGGACTCTTCCAGGACTATATAAAGTATGCGATATAACACTCTAGGAGAAGAGGAGGAAAGAGAGAAAGAGAGAGAGAGAGAGTATTCTAATACCGTAGTATCAGCCGCGTACGAGTACCAATATTGGACACTAGCACATAGTAAGCTCTGCTTACACTTACACTATCTTTGTAACCTTTTTGTTTAATATATCTTTCTTACCTCTAATCCGTGTTTTCCTTCCGTGGTCCCAACTTTGGGTCCACATCAGTGGCGACGGAGTATTCGAGAAACTCACTCACGCCGAAACCTCAATACCTTACCAGTCCCACATCAGTGGCGACGAAGAATTCGAGAAACGCATTCACGTCGAAAATCTCAATACCTTACCAGTCCCACATCAGTGGCGACAGAAAGATTCGAGAATTTCGTTCTCACCATATAAATAGCGACAGAGTACTCGAAAAATACACAGAAACTCCAGGCGTTCCCACAGTAGTGTTGAACGAGAAATTAAGCTGGTATTACTGCATCAGCGATCTAAACGCAACACCCAGCGTCTACATATAAAAAAAAAAAATATATATATATATATTCAGATAACAATTAGCAGTGACGAACTAGCGATTCGACATCCACGGAATATTAAAGTCTGTCCAAATAACATAACGAGAACGATTTCTTACACACCCACACACACAAAAAAAACTGGTTGTTCATAAAAAAACGACAGCATAAGAGCCGAAGTACTACTTACGACTCTAGTTTTCGAAAAAAAAACTATCTTAAAAAGTTTTTTTTAGGTAACTGAGATGAATCTCGTGCATAAAATTTTTCTCCCCTCAAATTCACTGAGGCGATTTTTCTCTTTTTTGTACCTTTGAAAAAAAGAGAAAATACATAATAAGTGTAGTGAAAATTTATACAATTACGTTAAAATTAACGGAACCACGGAATCTCGAAAAAGCTAAACACATAATTAGTTTAGTTTAACTAATTGTCTGTCCCTTTTTCTTTTTTGTAAAAAAAAAAAATATATATCTATCAAGATTTTTTTGTGTGCCTCCTCTTGGTATACGGGTTTTAAAGCAACGAAAAATCGCTGTCATTTTTGTTTGTCTAAATATGGAAGATTTTCAAAAAGTAATCGTCCAAATGCTAAAAGTACATTTGGATCAGTAACAAAAATCAGAAGAAAGACAACAACAACTATTTTTGGAATTACATAAACAACAAATGAAATTCCAACAAATTACGCTTCAGAATGCTGAACTACAACAGAAACAACTTTAAGAATTACTCGTAAATGAATTAAAAGGCTCAAAATCTGAAAAAGATACAATATTCTCCAAGAGTACATTCTACAATTCAATGGGAACCTTTGAATACGTACCAGAGAACGACAAAACGTTCGAGGCTTTTTACAGGCGCTACGAAGATATTTTCAACGTAGACTGTGAACAATGGCCCAGTAAAAAAGGTACATCTACTATTGAGAAAACTGGGAACTACAGAACATAGTAGGTTCGTAGACTTCATACTACCCAAGAAAACCACAGACTTGGATTTTTCAGAGATTATTAAGCTTTTATCGGAACTATTCAGGCCTAACCCAACCTTGTTTCACAACCTTGTTCCACAAACGCTGGAAATGCCTGAACACAGTTAAAGACAACCAGCAAGATTTTCTAACGTTTGCAGCATCGGTAAACAAGCTCTGTAATGATTTTAAACTAGCCGAACTGACTGCCGATGATTTCATGTGCCGAAGTCAGACGACGGGTACTGACCAAGCTTGAGAACGAACAAGGATTGACTCTCCAAAAACTGGCAGAGGACTGTCAAAGAGTAATATCTGTAAAGTGTGACTCAAACACTATCGAGGAATCAGGTGTGGTTCAGATTAATAAAATCAGAAACAAGTCTACCTCCTATTCCCCTCAAAAACACAAAAGGCAAATCTCATGTCCTAAATTCCGCAGTAACCAAAACCCAAATAGGTTAAAGAAACCGCCCGGACCATGTTACCATTGTGGTAAATGGCACTGGATGAAATTCTGTCCAGTTAAGAAGAAAAAATATTGCAAAAATTGCAATAAAATGGGCATACTTTTAACGCGGTGCTGGTACGCCAACAGAACGAGAAACCCAAAAATAAAATTAGGCAAACTCAATCTGACAATATTGTCGATAGGAATTTAAGGAAATATGTAACTGTGGATATTTCCAATAATTCCATTAAATTCCCGCTTGACTCGGTTTCCGATCTTTTAACCATTAACTGGCTTACTTGGCGAAAATTAAACAAGCCGACCTTATTAAAAACGGATAAAACAGCAAAGTCCGCGACTAGCGAAAAGATTAGCATTTTAAGCGAGGTAATACTTAGAGTAACACTAAATGGAGTTACCAAAAAGCTCAAAGCCTACGTATTGAAAACTTCAGATAACTTATTTGGAACAGATTGGATAGAAAAATTCAATCTTTGGGTTTGCCCAATGAGTAAATTTTTTCGCAAGATACAAAGTACAACGTCCAATTTGGTAAATCTCAAAAAGGAACTCAAACAACAATTTCCACAGGTTTTTTTCTGGCGGCCTTGGGAAATGTACTAAAATGAAAGCTAAGTTCAAGGTGAAGGACGGTGCACAACCGATATTCAAAAAGAAACGGAATGTCCCTTTCGCTGCTCTAGAGCAAATCAACAGAGAATTAGATAGACTCGAACAAGCAGGTATTCTGTCAAAAACAGATTTCAGCGAGTGGGTAGCACCTATGGTCTACGTAAAAAAGAAGTCCAATCAAATACGAGTATGCGCAGATTTTTCCACAGGGTTAAATGATGCCTTGCAAGATCACCACTATCCTCTCCCAAGCCCTGAAGAAATTTTCAATAAACCCAATGGTGGAAATTTTTTTTCTAAAATCGACCTCTCGGACGCATACCTCCAGAGAGAGGTGGAAGAAGAAAGTTCCAATTTGCTCTGCATAAACACCCAGAGAATGTTGTACAAATACAACAGACTGGCTTTTGGAGTAAAGGTTGCGCCTGCAATTTTTCAGCAGGTCATGGACGCCATTCTGGGTGACCTTGACTACGCAACAGCCTATTTGGATGATATACTGGTTACCAGTAAAACTACGGCAGAGCACCGGAACCATATAATAAACGTATTCGAAAAGATACAAGAATACGGATTTAAGCTTAAGGAGGCAAAGTGTGACATTTTCTTACCAGATATTAAATACTTAGGGCACATCATAAATAAAGATGGTCGTCGGCCGGATCCAGAAAGAGCCAACGCGATCAGAAACATGCCGGCCCCAAAAAACATTCAAGCGTTACAAAGCTTCCTCGGTCTAGCTAACTTTTACCAAGGATTCATTAAGAACATGCAGAATTTGAGAGGGCCTCTCAACCAACTTTTA